TTTTACTATATGTAAATTGTACCTCAATAAAAAAAGGAAAATAATTTTCTTAAAGCCTGCAGGTTTATAATAGTATTGGCTTTAAAAAGTATAATAGTATTGGCTTTAAAATGGCTTTTTGGTCATTAACCGAAATATTAGTTTTGAACAAGTTAGCTATTTGGTGATGCAGAGCAGTCTGTTGGTTCTGAATAATTAAGCACAGGATTTTAGAAAGGCTTCATGTGGGTCCATACTCCCCATGGGGAAAATAAAACTAGTACATAGTACAAAAAGTGGCTGGTTTTCAACATTCTGTTTTATGTGTATCCTAAGCCTGAGTAACCTCAGTGAATATTGATGAGCTACTCTTATAAATTACACTCCACATTTCTTATGCATAGCTCTTGCTGTCATTTTAACATAAGAACATTTTAATGCGTAGGATCTCTGTTTTTCTGAGTCATAAAAACATCTAGAGAAAAAATTATCAGAAGTGTTCCTATTAGTGCTTATCAAATTATAGCATTCTGTAATTGTTTTTACAGTGTATGGCATGTTTTTTTAAAAAAATAAAATTATCTGAAGGAGAAATTGAAGCCATTTCTCCTAAAAAAAAAATCAAGGCAGGATTTTTTTATGTAAATGGAGACTTTAATTTATTCACTATTATATATTCTATTTCTATAGAATATAGAATTCTATATTCACTATTATATAGTGAATAAATTAATATGTTAATTTATTCACTATTATATTGTCTGTATTTGCATAAATATAGTACACCAGAAATAGAAAAATTACTCTATCGAAATATTCAGGCATGTACCATATATTACCTTTTTTGCTAATTAAAATTCTAGCACAACACTATGAGATAAACTCACATTTAGTTTGTGCACATAATATTACTACCATAATAGATAATACATTAAAGACTTTTTTGTAATTAAATATTTTTATAGTCAGCCAACACTGGATTTATTTTTTTTTTTTTTTTTTTTTTTTGAGACAGAGTCTCGCTTTGTTGCCCAGGCTAGAGTGAGTGCCGTGGCGTCAGCCTAGCTCACAGCAACCTCAAACTCCTGGGCTCGAGTGATCCTTCTGCCTCAGCCTCCCGGGTAGCTGGGACTACAGGCATGCGCCACCATGCCCGGCTAATTTTTTATATATATATCAGTTGGCCAATTAATTTCTTTCTATTTATAGTAGAGACGGGGTCTCGCTCTTGCTCAGGCTGGTTTTGAACTCCTGACCTTGAGCAATCCGCCCGCCTCGGCCTCCCAAGAGCTAGGATTACAGGCGTGAGCCACAGCGCCCGGCCCCAACACTGGATTTTAATATCTTTCTAATACATCTAAAAAAACAACAGGATGAGGATAATTTCTATAACCAATAAACAAACATTTTGAAAGTACATGTAAACATAAATTCTCTTAAGTAAAATATTAAAATATAGTTGTAATAAGCTGAGGCATGTGTTCAATATAATGAAATGTATATCTACCCAGGGATACATATATCTTCAGAGATTGATGGAGAATAAATATTTAGATAGAAAAACAGATAAATTATAATGGGGAAATGATATTACATAAACCACATGCAGAAACATATTTTTTCAGACATATCATCAAATGTTTTCAGTGGATTTTCTTACGCCATGTACAATAGTTTATTATGTACTAACATAGGGAAAATGAGGCATACCATACGAGACTGTTATAATGTAGTTATCTTGGAACGAGGTCCACAGGGTGTTGAACAAATGGGAATTACTATTATTACATATTGCTTGATGTCTTCATACAGTTCTGCTGGCTTTTGTGCAGGCATCCCCCGCCCTGGGCAGAGCTGTGACGTCATTGACTGACTCTCCTGCTCTTGGCCTTCACCTGGGGTTCCCTGACATAGCAATAAGGGCTCCCCTTTCTGATCTCTCAGATCCTCAGTTTCCCCTCCTGTCTGAGCAGCAGGAATAGAGCACAGCCTGATCATTTTAAGGATTACGTTGCTATGGTCTGAATGTTTGTGTCCCCCCAAATCCATGTGTTGAGATTCTAACCCCCAGGGTGACGGTATGAGGAGGTGAGGAGGGCAGCAGAGAATCAGCGCCTTATAAGAAGAGGCCAGAGAGACCCCTCCTCCCTTCTACCATATGAGGGCACGGTGAGAAGTCACCACCTATGAACCAGAAAGCAGACCCTCCCCAGACCCCAAATCTACCAATCTCGAACTTCCCAGCCTCCAGAACTGTAAGAAATAAATTTCTGTTGTTTATAACCTTCCTAGTTTATGGTATTTTGTTATAGTAGCCAAAATGAACTGAGACAATACTTTAGTATGCCTGAATTTTAAATCAGTCACTTTAGGTCTTTTATCCCTAATTTCATACAGCACAGCATCTGGTAGGTATTGGATATTCAGTAAAGGATTGCCAAAAGAATGTTAGTGTTCCTTTGTAAAATAATCATTTTAAGGCTAAGAACAGTAGTTCACACCTGTAAATCCTAGCACTTTGGGAGGCCAAGGCAGGAGAATCACTTGAGACCAGGAGTTTGAGATCAGCCTGGGCAACATAGCAAGATCCTGTCTCTACAAAAATTAGAAAAATTATCCAGGCGAGGTGGCATGTGCCTGTAGTCACAGATACTTGGGAGGTTAAGGCAGGAGGATCTCTTGAAACCAGGTGTTGAAGGTTGAAATAAGCTGTATTGACACCACTGCACTCCAGCCTGGGTGACAGAATCAGACCCTGCCTCAAAAAAGAAAAAAAAAAATCATCATCATCATTTTAGAAATCAATAAGTAGCCACAGAGGCTCTAGCTGGAGGATTACATGAGACTCTGAAATCAACTCTTTAAGCTGAATTGCGAAGTAAAATAACATGGTACGTCCAGGGCAATTGTCTGTGCAGTGTGAGATGGAGACGTCCAAAGGGATGGCTCCCAGTGGACAGTTCAGGTGAGCTCAGTGTTGCCTTGGAGACCAGTGTGGGCTGGGGCTGCAGGGGACCCGAGGGAGAGCTGATGAGAACTCTAAGAACTAATAAACAGAGTGATGCGAGGCAGCCGTCGGTCATGAGGCCTAGTATCAGACACAGTGTTCCAAGCCAGGAGGTGCGGCCAGCCAGTGCCACAGAGGGTGCAAGTAGTTTTGAGGCAGAATAAGGAAGCAAGTGAAGCAGGGCCAGGTAGAGTGACCTGCGTCTCTACTAGGGGTTGAATTGGGTCTCCAAAAGACGATGTGTTGAAGACGGAACCCCCATTGCTGCAGAACGTGATTGTCTTTGGAAATGGGGCCGTGGCACATGTAATTAGTTAAGATGAGGTCAGACTGTAGCGGGGTGCTCCCTTAATCCAACATGAGTAGCATCCTGAGAAGAAGAGGAAACAAAGGCGTGAGGAGAAGACACCATGTGACCAGGAGGCGGAGGTTGGAGGGCTGCAGCCGAGAGACTGGGAACGCCAGGCGTTGGCGGCTGCCCCCGGAAGAGGCAAGGAAGGGTTCTCCACTGTGGGTTTCAGGGGAAGTGTGACCCTGTTGTCACCTTGAGCTTGGACTTATCACCTACAGAACTGAGAGAGTTTTAAGTGTCTTCTGTTTTAAGTCCCCCTGTTTGTGGGCCTTTGTCATGGCATCCTTAGGGAACTAATAAACACAGTCTCTCAGGCCAAATGTGCCTGTTCATCCACTCGGGAGGGAGCACTGGCAGCTGCCACTCTGGGACCTGCCATGCCTCCATGCAGATCCAGGTCTCTCCATAATCGCCAAGGTAACTTTGGACATTCAGATTCTGCGATACCCAACAATTCCTCTTCTGGGATCAACACGTAGCCCAAACTTTTAGGATAAAGAAACTGCTCCACCCTCAGAGATCTGCCTGGGTGCTCACTTCTCCCCCAGAGACTCTCTACACCCCACAACCTCACTTTTCTTCCTCCTGCCACAAGAAGCCCAGATTTATCATTTACACTTTCCCCGGAAATAGGGGTTAAGGTCATAGTGTTAATCACTCCCCTCCCTTCTAATATCCTAAAATACATCCTCTGCACACAGTGTGATGTATTCCTCTGGTAGTGAAGAATCTGACAGTCACTATGCCACTGGACTATAGTATCTCCATTAATAATGAATTTCTGAAGACCTAGTAGCTTAGTTTATTAAACATAGTTATGTTCTTTTAAAGAGAATAGACCTTTAGCAGAAATTTACTTAAATGGTCTTGCATTGAATGAATTATCTGCTCTTTTTGAGAGGCTATGATTGCATTTGAGGCAGCAATGATCAAAGGCTTGACAGTGGATCCTACCACGTGAAGCTTAATACCATTGGTCTAACTCAGCTCTTTGAATGTGTTTTTGGTATTAACAATTGTCTGCGTGACCTCGTTCACCATTCAAGGTTGTATTTCAGTAAAGCTTGAATAATCATTGCTAAAAATTTGCTAAAATTCAGACTATCAGAAAAGGGCAAGAAGAGATGAAATCCAAATGTAATAATAAAGGTGGAAAATGAAGCAATGAAGGCAAGTGAAGGGGTAAAAGGATGAAATGATGTATGGAAAGCGTAAGGAGGCCAATTGCTTTTTGAGGAGAGCTGTAAGACTACACAAGACTGATACTTTTATTGATTGCAAAATTGTATTAAAGTTATTCCAAAAGAAAAAGAGTATGGTGTCCCTATCTCGCCATCCAGATGGTCAGTGGGAGAGCCAGGGTTTCGCTACACATCTGTGACTTGAGACACCACGGTCTTGTCACTATGAACGGAGCCTCCCTGCATGTACATAGGAAAAGCCGTTCTTTCTCATTTTCTTTTTCTTGTAGTCTTTTCTTTGGGGGGGAGGGGACAAAGCAGCTTTGGGTACCTTTTCTGCACCAAACTAATGTAAATATCCGGCTTCCCTAAATGTCAGCTGTGACAAATGGCAAACCCTTTGTCCTGCTGCTGGCAGGGGACTGATAGCCAGTGCAGGGCCTTGGGGCAGAGGCTGACGGGCATCTCCTTGAACTCCTAGGAGCCGAGGTGACGTACATGAACATGACCGCCTACAACAAGGGCCGGCTGCAGTCCTCCTTCTGGATCGTGGACAAACAGCACGTCTATATCGGCAGTGCCGGCTTGGACTGGCAATCCCTGGGACAGGTAATCTTTCCACATTACCTAAACTCAAAGTTCTATCAGCGTCGAAACTACCACCTTCACAAAACACTCAGCCACCTCTACTGTGGATAAAGGAACTAAAACTAATGGCATTTATTATTTTCAATTGCATGGTTTTAAGAGGTTCACTTTCATTTATTGTGGAGTGATAAACCTTTCCTTGTCAGAATCATCTTACCAAAAAAAAAAAAAAGAAAAGAAAAGAAAAGAAAAAACTGCAACAAAAACTTCAATGCTTTTGTAATTCATCTGCCGCGTCCAGATTCTTTAAAGCAGATTGGTCTGTAATTTATGTGCCCCAGACCTAAATTTTCAGGATGATATCACATAATTTTTGAGACAGAGGAAAACATAGAATTTCAGTATAGGATAGTGTGTTTTAGGACAGTAATCATTTGAGTTATGTCTTTAATAAACCTTAAGATGAAAATGTTATCATCTTTCTCTTTGTAACTGATTAACTTCATATATCTTGAAAATACATTTAAACAGTCTTTTAATTTTCATATATTTATTTGTGCCAAAGGCAATTCACAGAGGATTACAAAATCACCATCTTTCCATTGGTCAACCAGTGGCAGGAAGTTCCGGGTCATTGGGCGCTTGGGCAGCCTGGCCAATCAGTTGTGCCTGCTACAGGGGGCACCAGCACTCCGTTCTAACTGAGCTCTTTGACATTCACTTGAGCTCACCGAGTGAGTTACACTGCACATCCATTTATCTCTTATGGGAAAGAAGGCATTGATGTGCACAGACGTTTCCTACTATAACCTGTAGAGAAAGACAACACCTTGTTAGATAAAATCTGAAAGAAGGTAGCATCACATTTGTAATATGAGCGGCATACAATTAACCATTTGTCTCCCAATTTCCACTTTTTTTGCCTCTTAAACTACTACCTCCTATCCTCTTTTATGGTGAGGCAGGTCAAAGTGCTCAGGGTAAAAGAAACATACAAAGGGGAAACCAAAAGTCTAAAAATTCAATTGTTTCTCTCTCCACTGAATAGATGGTATAGAGCAAAAGTAAAACTTAACCCAAGGTGGTTTTTATTTTCTAGTTTAGTATTTAAACCAAAGTATAGGCTAGTCAAAGTATAATCCAGTCTCAAGGGTCAAATACTTGTTGTTTCTAATAAGACAGTCTATCTCCCCAGGAAAGAGGGGGAACCAGTGAAAGAAAATGCCATCATTCTTTGGGGATAAAGACACCATCAACACTTGAGAAAACATTGTTTATTCTGTATTTGCTCTGGAAAGCAAAAGAAAGTGCTATCTACAGATTAAAAAATGATTCTGAACAAAATAATAACAATAATGGTAGCACTAATTAGCATACATTAAATGCCAGGGGCTATTCTAAGCCATTTAAATTATTTATTTATTTCATGCCTCACAGTGGTCCTATGAGATAAATACTATTATTATCTCCATTTGATAGATAAGTAGACTTGAGCCCAGAATTGAATTTCAATGTTCACTCTTTAAAGCTTGCACCTTCTAATATTTATTTTGATGTAAAAAATACAAATTTTGACTCTATATGTCTCATGTCTGATGGTCCTTCCAATACACATACAAAAAATGTTTATTACAACAACTTTGGTTGACTTTGGAAACAAAAAGTAAAGCGATAGTAGTATAAAGCCTCATTAAAGTATTTAGGAGAAACTAGTCTAACTTATGGAAATATCTCAGTTAATCCTTTGCCCTTTTTGTACTGACAAAGAGCTCATCAGTAGATATCTTCTACCCAGTAATTTTCAGCTGGATCTCATAGTAAACATGTAAATTGGTTCTCTACCATACTGATTGTATGTAAAGTCTGCTAAGTGTTTTTTTTTCACTTGAGCAATAGTTTGCTTTTTTTTTTTTTTAAAGAAAATGCTCTTCCCCACCACCAAATTTTATTTATGTTATTACTAACTGATATTAATTGATAGGGTCTAAAGTTTTGTAAATTCCATTTGAATGAGGTTTTAATGATTGAGGTTTTGTGACATTTTTCTCCAAATTTAGAGCAAGCTGTCCTTATTTCTTTCATTTCTTCCTTTTTTTTTTTTTAATTTTTTTTTTTTTTTTTTTTAAATCTGCAAGTGGAATTACACCTGGAATGGAACCATAGCTAGTGTCCTCTTTCATTTCTTGTTACTCCTTTCCTTGGACAGATACGCTACATACATTCAAGTGTTGGTCTCTGCTTGAAGACTGTTCCTTTCTGTTTGCTTTTTGTTGTTGTTTTGTAGAAAAGTAGGTTGATCTTTCAAATGTTCATTCTTTACCTACATAGTCATTTGGATGTTATTTTTTTAATGGATCCTCATTGTGAGATGTGACATTTTCCCCGACTATAAACATGGTTAAATTCAGAGTAAGCATAAGCTGCAAATTATTTCCTGTTATTCAATTGAAGAATTGAAGCCATCTTCTGCTCTGTCCTTGCTTGTACCTGCCCAAATGGTAGCTGGTTTCCCCCCTTGTTATAGGGAGACCAGGGTTGTCCACACGTCAGAGGGAGACGTGGGAAAGCACCAGGACCCATTTCTCTGTGTCCCCACCAGTTATACATGTGTTGTGAAACCTCTTAATTTTGCCATAGTGTAGAGTTGGTCCCTGCAGGTCCATCTAGCTAAGCCACACACGAGATTAATAAACAGAGTGGATTATTTTTAGGTTTGTCTCCTTATGCTCAAATACATCAACAAAGTTTTACTTTTAAAAACCTACTATTCCTTAAGTGTGGAGCATGTGTAATATAGGAATTTAAAAATAAACTTATTTTATGATTCATCATAAATTCATGAATAGGAAAACCATGAAAAAGCACTAACCACTCCAAACATTTTCTTAAAAAGAAGGCTGGTGAAGAGTCATATTCACCAGCTAATCCATAAAAGCTGTCCTTGGGGGAGAGTAACGTTGGGTTGGTGGAGAAAAGGCAGAAGGCTTGAATAAAACACATACCTTGGTGGGAAACATTTAAATCATCAGTGATTTCAAGCCATATGGACTTCCCATATGGTTTGTTTTTGTAGAAATCTACATTCTTCTGTTGGTTGTAAATTTAATAGTAAGTTAAAATTCCTGGGGGTCAGGGAATTGGGACAAAGTAGAGGGAAGAAATCTTTACCAGTAGGCTGTTATTTATGTACCAGACACTGTGCTAATCGCTTTTTATATATTTTTTTCATTTATCCTTGCAATCTAAGGATAGATATTATCTTTATTTTCTTAATAAAGACAATATTGGAAAAATAAGAACAAACATATCCCGCTGCTTCTCTTCTCTCCCACAACATAATAAAACACTCTCTAACTTGTATAGGAATTAAGTATTTGGACATGATTCTCCTATTCCTTGGATTGACAGTTAAGTTGGCAGCGTCTGCATGTTTCATTTCATTCCTAGCAATTTGGGACTCAGGTACAAATCAACCCAAAGTTGTCATTTCCTCATTTTTTTGCTGCTAACCCAAACTTTTTAGATAAGATAAATAAGATATATCTCATTCCTATTCTCTTAGCAATAGAGACTTTCCTATTTTCCTTTTGGAAGAGACTCTGTTTTTTTGATGAGGGTAGAGATATAAACTAGGGAGAAGGCAGGGCTTAAAATTCTTATAAACGAACATTTAACATCCCTTTCACTTCCCCGCATCTGCGTGTGACTGCCAACCTACTCAGGACTTACCTTTTCATTAACACCCACGCCCTCGCCCTCTCCTCCTCCTCCTCCTCCTCCTTCTCCTCCTCCTCCTCCTCCTCCTCCTCTTCTCCACATCTGTGTGTAGACACTGCCTCCTCCCTGGCCCAGCCTTTCCCACAACTCTCAGAATTCGGGATCATGTTATTACACTTAATCATCTCTCGTAAATTAGTGTTCCTTTCAACTGTGCTTGACTATGTGGGGTTTTTCTTGGTCTGTCTCAGCGTGACATAACACATTGCTCAGCAGGACCCATGCATTAGAACAGATTTTAATTTGAGAGAAGTTGGATGTGAAGCTAACAATTGCAAAAAAAGAATTATAATACATGTGCCAAATGTCAAATTCAACCTATGTCATTGGCATTATATTTTGTGAAGTTTTCCAGTAAAATAAATGATTATTTCTATCAATCATTGCTTTAAGTCTATGGTAAGTAGAAGAAATAATGAAACTAATAATAACAGCTTCAATGTATTGAGGGCTTTCTCTATGCTAGGCAGTCTTCTAAGCATGTAAACAGTATGAACTCATTCAATTTTCACAATACCCTTTCTTGGAAATACTATTCTTATAACTTTATTTTACAAAGGCAGAAGCTAAGACACAGATGACTAACTTACCCAAGGTCACCTTCCAGGAAGTGGCAAAGCTAGAATGTAAACCCAAGCCATCTTGCTCCAACCCTTCACTCTTATTTCACTAAATTTTAAAAATAAATACATTTAGGAAAAATCGTTTTCTTTCATGATCTTGCTGTGATGCTAAGTTACCGATTTTTTTTCTCTCTCTTGCCCTTATTTTTAAGAAAAACTAATACAATCTGTCAAGAAAGCCTTCACTCATTCACATCTTTCCAGTTGCGAACCCATGATGATGTGGTAGCCACAGAATGCCAACTACTCTTGCTCAATACTTGAGTTCTGCAAACTCAATCCCTGGGTTGAATTTCAAAAACTAGGAAGTCAGTATGTGTTTGCTTCCGTAGACATACCTTGATTATATTGTGGGTTCAGCTCCAGGCCACTGCAATAAAGCTAATAGAGCAATAAAGCAAGTCACACAAAATTTTTTGATACTATAGTCTGTTACGTGTGCAGTAGTAGCATCATGTCGGGGGGAAAAAGTGCATACTTTGATTAAAAATCGTTTTGCTAAAAAATGATAACAATCATCTGACCCTTCAGTGAGTTGTAATCTTTTTGCTGGGGGAGGGTCTTGCCTCCATGTTGGTGGCTGCTAACTGATCAGGGTGGTGTTTGCTGATGGCTGGGGTG